CCTGTCTTCACAAAAGAAACCTTTTTCTTGCCAAGTACACAAGGTTCACAGAATTCAGAATCCACCTTTTTCAAATCTGGAAGTTTCCCCCTTGCAACGAGCATCTTCATTCCCTTTTCACTCATGTGGCCTAGCCGTTGATGCCACAAACTGGATGCATTCAGCCCGCTGGTCACTGCATTCATCTCATCATGAGGAGCTTCAACCATATATAAAGTACCCCTCTTTTTGCCTCTGGCGATTACAAGATTCCCTTTGACAACTTTCCATTGTCCTTTGTTGAAATAGAAACTGAAATGATATTAAAATGGAGAGAAGGATTTTCTGTGTATTTCATTAGAGGGTTAAGGCCTTATATATATATATATATTACAAAGATGGAATATTCCTATATAAGATGCTATACAATAATAATGTCTAGAGTATATTCCTAAAGCATATTCTAGAGCATATTCCTAAAGCATATTCCTAGATACAATAATACTTTCACACTCCCCCTCAAGTTGGAGCATAGATATTTATCATGCCCAACTTGTTACATAAGTAATCAACTCGAATCCCATTTAGAGCTTTAGTGAATAAATCTCCAAGTTGTTCTCCAGTCTTCACATACCCGGTAGAGATTAATCCTTTTTGTATCTTCTCTCGAATAAAATGGCAATCAACCTCAATATGCTTTGTTCTCTCGTGAAATACGGGGCTGTTTGCTATGTGTATATCAGCTTGGTTATCGCACCACAACTGAGCAGACATTGGTGTCTTCAATCCAATTTCATTCAATAAATGGTGTATCCATATTATCTCACATGCGGATTGTGCCATAGCTCGATATTCCGATTCAGCACTAGAACGAGAAACCACATTCTGTTTCTTACTCTTCCAGGATACAAGATTACCACCAACAAAGACACAATAGCCAGATGTAGATCTTCGATCATCTTTAGAACCGGCCCAATCAACATCTGCAAAGCATTCTATTCTCATGTGATCATGGTTTTGATAAACAATACCTCGTCCTGGTGCTCCCTTTAAGTAACATAATATGTGTTCTACAGCAGCCCAATGATCAATGGTCGGAGATGACATGTATTGACTCACTACACTCACAGAATAAGCAATATCTGGACGGGTGACTGCGAGATAATTAAGCTTTCCAACCAGTCTTCTATATCTTTCTGGGTCTTCAAACGGTGTGCCTTCTTGAGTGAGTTGCACGTTGAGAACCATGGGTGTTGTACTTGGTTTTGCCCCTAATTTCCCTGTCTCAGCTAGTAAGTCAAGTACATATTTACGTTGAGATAGAAATATGCCTTTCTTACTTCGTGTTACCTCAATTCCCAGAAAGTATTTCAAAGAGCCAAGATCTTTCGTCTGGAATTGACTATGCAGAAAATTCTTAAGGGCCAAAATACTTGCATTATCACTCCCTGTAATCACAATATCATCAACATATACCACAAGCAATGTGACACCTGATTCTGTTTGTTTGTAAAAGACAGAGTGGTCTGATTTGCCTTTTATCATTCCAAATTGTTCAATTGATTGACTGAATTTCCCAAACCATGCACGAGGACTCTGTTTCAGACCATAAAGAGATTTGCGAAGTCGACAAACTTTACCATACTCCCCCTGAGCAACAAATCCCGGAGGTTGCTCGATATAGATTTCTTCCTTAAGGTCACCATGCAAAAATGCATTTTTAATGTCCAACTGATGTAAGTGCCAATCATGAATTGCAGCGAGTGAGATAAGTAACCTGACAGATGTTAATTTAGCAACAGGAGAAAAAGTGTCAGAATAATCAACACCATAGGTTTGAGCATAACCCTTCGCAACTAATCGGGCTTTCAACCGAGCAACAGATCCGTCTGGGTTAACCTTAACAGCAAAGACCCACTTACATCCAATAGATTTCTTCCCTGTAGGTAAGTCAACCAAATCCCATGTACCATTAAGATCTAAAGCATTCATTTCCTCTACCATGGCTTGACGCCATTCAGGATGAGACAAAGCTTCTTTGACAGATTTGGGAATAGAAATAGAATCAATGGAAGCAATAAAAGAACATGAAGCAGGAGATAACTGATTGTACGACACAAATGAAGAAATAGGATGAGTACAAGACCGTGTACCTTTACGTACTGCTATTGGGAGATCAAGATCTGATGTGGAATCAAGATCTGAAGATGCAGATACTGGTTCAGGACATGAGATCGGAGTCGAACTAGTATCAGGAAAAGTAATCACAGGTATCGCCGGTGGAGGGTGATCAGGTGCTTTGTGTCGACGGGTGTATACCAAATGTACGGGAGGCCTAGGGTCATGAACAGTAACTTGTGGAATATTTGTCGAAATGATATTAAAATGGAGAGAAGGATTTTCTGTGTATTTCATTAGAGGGTTAAGGCCCTATATATATATATATTACAAAGATGGAATATTCCTATATAAGATGCTATACAATAATAATGTCTAGAGTATATTCCTAAAGCATATTCTAGAGCATATTCCTAAAGCATATTCCTAGATACAATAATACTTTCACATCCTTCACCAAAAGTAACATCAAATCCCTGATCATCCAACTGCCCAATAGAAATCAGCATCTTCTTAAGGCTTGGAATGACCCGAACGTCTTTCAATGTCCAAGTGATGCCCAATGAAGTCTTTAAGTCTATGTCACCCATCCCTGTGATATCAAGAGAGTTGTTATTAGCCAAAGGAACTTTACCAAAATTACCTGTCCGTAGATTCTTCATCACCTTCGTGCTGAAAGTAGCATGAAATGATGCACCAGAATCCATAATCCACGTTTCTGTTGAGTTTTCAACACAACAGATAAGGGCATCATCTGAATCGTCAGTGGCTGCATTTACTTCCTTCCTTTCTGAAGATTTAGGGCATTGATTTCTGAAATGCCCAGTTTCTTTGCAGTTCCAGCATTGAATATCTTTTCTTGGTTTTGACTGGCTCCTCTTTCTAGACTTTGATCTACCTCTGCCATTTCCCTTCTCTTTCTTTCTATCTCTCCCTTCAGTACTTAACAAAGCACTAGAAGATTCTCCAGAACTCCTCCTTCTTATATCCTCTCCTAGGATAATGTCACGAATGCCCTCAAATGTGAGTTTAGAGGTTCCAGTTGAACCGCTAATCGCAGTGACTGTTCCTGACCAACTTTCTGGTAACGAGGATAACAAGAATAAAGCTTGGACTTCATCTTCAAACTTAATATCAACAGATAGTAAACGGGATATGATAGTATTAAACTCATTAATGTGTGAGGTAACGGATGCACCTTCTTTCATTCTGGTGTTTACTAGCTGTCTTATCAGAAATACCTTGTTTGATGCCGATGGTTTCTCATACATGTTTGACAAAGCCTTCATCAAACCACATGCAGTAGTCTCCTTCAAGATGTTAAACGCCACACTCTTGGCTAGGGTAAATCTGATAACAGACAAAGCTTTCCTGTCTAGAGCAGCCCATTCATCATCACTCATCTTTTCTGGTCTTTTCGCTGTCAAGGCTTGATCCAAATCCTTCCGACACAGCAAATCCTCAATTTGCATCTTCCACCATCCAAAATCTTGTCCATCAAACTTCTCGACTTTGGTTTTCCGTCATCTGCCATTGTCCCAGTCCTTCACAATCTGCCAGCTATATTCTTCTGCGGCAGCTCACTGTTGGCGGCACGAGGAGGCTGAAGATGCAGGGCGGCAGCAGTGGTGGTGGTTGAATATGTGGTGGTGGCTAACCTTGCTCTGATACCAGTTGTTAGGGTTAGATCTCACACACGCACGAATCTGAAAAACTAGAAAAGAACGAGAAGAACGGCACACGAATATAACGTGGTTCAGCCAGTAAGTGTTACTGACCTAATCCACGGGGGCAACTAGGGTTTTCTTTCTTATTGAGATGATAAATGATACAAGTCATAGTTTACAAGTACACGAGTCAATATATAGGCAAACAATTAGGGTAAAACACTTAATAAGGTTCTGGGCCCGACTGCCACCAAAGAAACAGGCCCAACTAGGGCTGCCTGCACATTTAACTAGAGCAGACTGCTGCTCTTTGTTTATTTGGCTCCCAGATCTGAATGGGCCGAAGCCTACAGCCCAACAAGGCTTATGTGCGTTAATGACTTAGTGCAACTTTTTAGTGTAACTGTGTAATGATTCTTTTCAAGCAGTAATTTTTGGCCATCAAAAGGGCCGTTCACATATAAAATGATCAATTGAAAAACAATAAATCATGAACCTTTGGACGTTTTAGTGTGCCCATATATTATTCTATGAGCATTATTAACACGTGTGGTGAAAGTTTACTTCAACAGGCAAAAACAATTATGACTCAAGCCTACGAGACTTCACATTAGATGAACATGGCATAGATTTGATAAATATATTATTCAAAATAATTTTGCACATTTATTAGTTGGTCTGATGATATAATTTTCATAATGGTTGCCCAATGTGATACTTCCTGTGTTGTTTTAATGAAAGACATTCTTTTGATGCTTTCCAATATGTATGAGTCTTACTGGCACACCAACCCAAAAATGATGAAACTTAAGACATTAACTTATTGAGCTGTTGAGGATGATCAGGTCTTCGATTCTGCTCCCCAGGCCCCAGAGAAACTGGCGGGAAGCATAACTGATCATCTATCTTGATGCATGTAACTTATCCATTCTAATAATACATAAGAGATGCATTATCCAGGATTATCACTGTTATGTCCAGATAAATAAAATGGAAAGGAACAGAAAATCCTTTTTTCTTCTCCTAAAAGACCCTCAATCAATTAAACCAAGCCTATATGTCTGGCTTGAAAAATTCCTAGACCCTTTTCACCCATAGTATGATTTTTCTTAAACTCATGTCCTCATATATTAATCCATCTTCCCATATAGATTTACATATATGCATAGATGTAATTTCATCATACATTTGACGTTGTTTAGCAGCATGTGAGTAGATTGATTGAAACATTTGCAGATTCATAGTATCATTTTCAAACAATGCTCCAGATCCAGACAAGGATAGTACAACAGTGCAGGAGTTTCTTGGGAACATGGAAGCTGCTTTCCGGGCACATTCACTTTGGGCTGGCTGTTCTGAGGAGGAGCTAGAGAGTGCGGGAGAAGTGAGTACACCCTTTCCGTTGTCTCTGCTCATGTGGGTGAATTAAGTACTTCATTTCCTTTATTATTACTTTTTCCATCATTTGCAATGGAGCCAAAGATTCATTATTTTTTGGCTTGAGATTATGATGGAATAAAGCAAAATGGCTCACTAAACTGTTTGCGCTTCTTTGTTATGAAGCAGCCGCCGGTCCATGCAATTTTGGACGGGATTTTCACTATGGGTCATCAGGAAACAGTCTCTCTGTGCTTTAGTACAGGGGTAAGACTGCTTACATCCGACCCCCCCTTACCCCACCATAGGTGGGAGCCTTTGCGGCACTGGGGTAAATGAAAATGAAATGAAATTTCCTTTATTATTACTGCTTTAATACTCCTTAGGTCTCTTTATGCTTCAAATGTTATACTTGTTGACTCCATGATGTATTCTGGGAATAAGCTACTGGCATTGGTCAGAAAGCTTGAATTATTTTAATATTTTATGATTCGTATACTTTTGCTGCTTTCTTTAAATGTTTTAGTTAGTCTTTATTTTTACATTTAGTAATCTTCTTAGCGTATTGTAGTTATAGTTTTGCATTAGATTTCGTCGTTTTATTTGACTGGCACTGTGAAGACTGTCATGATGTAATGGGGTATTGGTTTTAGTTTAACAGATGCTTAAGTTTAGGTAATAGAAAGGATGAAAGGGTGTTCTTGGCCTCTTGGGATATTAACAAAACCCAACCAGCCTGCAAAATTATCTGTTTCCATCTTTTTTCTTCACAAATGATCTGTCATTTGTTTCTAAGCCTTTATCATTGGTTTCGTTCATTTGTTGCTGATGACATGGACCACTCTAGTTCCAAAAATCTTTGAAAAACAATAATAACAGAAGCTATACACAAAGAGGGTAACACAATGGAATCCTTCATCCCCACTCAAACCCAAACTTCCTCGTTGACTGCACTAGCGGCGCCCACACGAAGCACTCAGGCACACCATTTTACATGGATGACTAAGCATCACACTCATGGTATAGTAGTAGTATACTAAACTGGATTTGCCTTGTATTTTTGGAAAAATATCCATTTATTTCCTTAGACCATTGTGAACTATATGATTATATCTCTTCAACACACAAATCCCACAAGAAAATGTGATATTAGTAGCTTTCAACATGATGGGCTGGTTTTCGAGACTATTGCCAACTTTATTTCTGATCCCCACAATGCAATAACCTACTCAATGAACCACCCAACCTGAAAAATACGGCCAAAACAATGAATGATGAGTTCATTTCATTTCATTTCATTTCATTTACCCCAGTGCCGCAAAGGCTCCCACCTACGGTGGGGTAAGGGGGGGTCGGATGTACGCAGTCTTACCCCTGTACTAAAGCACAAAGAGACTGTTTCCAGATGACCCATAGTGAAAATCGCGTCCAAAATTGCATGGACTGACTGCTGCTCCATAACAAAGAAGCGCAGACAGTTTAGTGAGCCATTTTCTTTATTCCATCATAATCTCAAGCCAAAAAACAATGAATGATGAGTATGAGGAAGAATTCTAGATGATGCTAGAACTCTGATGGGTTTATTTAATATACTGAGTGATCATAGAAGAGGATGAAATATGCCTCTTCTTGCCTACAGTGACTGCTGAGACTCACGCCGTGGAGATGAAGAAGGAATTGGTTGAACAGAAGAAAACTTCCAAGATTTTTTTTATCCATTTTCAATTCGTCTTTACATTAGAAAATGCCTTCCTATTTAAAGGAATTACAATTATAACTCAGAAGGAAACAAAGACTTTTTTCGAACAGAAAGAGATTCCTGAATATGTACACTTGCAACTAAACATAAAGTGATATCCAAATTGTAAACTAGTTGATTTGTACTGCTGATCTTGATGTACTTCTAGACTTTGATGTACTGTTTAAATACTTACTAAGTATTGAGTTGACCTAATCCTTTAGTTACATATATCTCTCACAAAGGAATTACACCTTCTGCATTATCTAAGAAGGTAGTATGCTCGACTATAGACCTTCAGGAAATCCTTTGGATCCAAATGTCAAGCTCCTACGGTCCTACCATAATGGGGGAGCGCTTGTTTGACCGAGAATGATACATGGGACTTGCTTAATTGCTTAAACATTGAGCCATTTCTCTATTACTTGAGCCTGTATCTCATAAGTGTGCAAAGTACAAAGTACTAAGTCAGCTCTTAGATACACTATGATACATTCATTTGAATATTGTTATTTGAATCTTAAGGTATACAAGAATGAAGTTGGACAAAGAATACTGTATGAAGATAGAGCCATACTCACAGACAAGTTGTTAATTCTTACGTAGTATACTCTTATGCCAGTTCGGCTTTTTTTTAATCCAATTTATAGATGTTCCATCTCTGGGTATTGTGTCTTAATGGGTGGCAATATAATTTTGTAGAAGAATTAGAAGTGGGATGTTTTTGCAAGATTAAACGGAGATACTGAGTATTGCACAACAATTCTAGCCAAATGTGAATTGATATGAGTCATATGACTAAAGCATTGACTTCAGGAACTGCAATATGATACTCCACATAGCTGCAAATATCAGTGTTTGAGTGTTTTGAGAAAGGACTGAACACAATAAAGATGATTGTTGTAAAATTTGAGTGTTACATGAAGTGCCAATTGTTCTTATCAATTAGATGAATATTATTGAAATCCATAAGCTGTCTTTGAGTTGACTACATTGGGGCTATTTGTCATCCACTCATCCCTCTTGTATTTTTTGAGATTTTTTACCAGTATCATTATACCTAGGTAGGGTTTGGGACATAAATATTTTTCTCTCTTCGGGCTTCCATAAAATGTTTGCAAAGAAGTTTAGGTCGACAGTTCACTGACCTCCTGATGTTACCACCCGGATAATGAGGAATGATACATGTCTACAAGGTGATCTTGGGAGTTTCATATTTGGAATCAAGAAAGGCTCACGTGTCACCACGAATGGTGACCAAACAATTTTTGTCCATTTCCTAGGTTCCCTGTGTAACCTGTTGATGCACTGCATCTTTGGACTGAATCAGTTGGACGTTTGAATTTCGCATAGAAGTGTTTCATGGAATTTCAAGCTTTTACCGCTACTGTTTCATGGATATTCAATCTTTTTTGCTTTCCTGCTTGTTTGGTCTGGTATGGGTTAAAACCAATGTGCCACGATCTCTACAGAAGAGTTTGTCAACTGTCTTCAACACAAAGAGTCATTAAATCATTCATGAACCTTCAGCTCTATCTGCATTTTAGGCAATCCAAATAGGTCATGTTTCCTCCTCTTAAAAGTGGGTCATTGACTCGGTGCCACGAATCTAGTCATAGTCTATTTTCTATGTCAGTAAAGATACCTCTCATACCCATGATACTCTTTCAGATGGTTCTCCCTAATAGGTTCTCAAGTCTACCATTGTTTCCCCATCTTCCACCCTCTCTTTGCCATTCAATCCTAGTCTACCATTTTCCCGCTGAAATTATCTTTGTGAGCAAGCTTACACATGCCTGTAACTGTTCCTTGACTTTTTTCTGTGATTACATTCTTAATTTCAACAAATTTTTATATTTCACTCATAAAATTAACTTCTATCAAGTATTATCAAATGTATTGATGATGCTATAGTCAACTACTCGAGTACCCGTTAACTCTAAGCAAATATGTTAATATTAAACTCCGCAAATTTAACCATCACAAAATAAACACATTCTCAACAAATATGACATTCCCAACAAGTTAACGTTTACCAAGTAATCCTACATTCCTACATTCCTTGAACGTAATGGTCCGTAGGGGGTTTACGATAGATACTCCCATAGTAACTCTAATAAGCTTGCGAGGTTCAACCTTACTGTTTAGACCAATTAATTATAACCCAAAATAGACGATAATAATCATTATAATGAAAATTAAAGAAAATTGTTTGGGATTTTGGATCACATTACACCTCATTTTTATTATTTTTTTTACTGACCTCAGCCATAAGTTTAATCTCTCAGCTTCATAAATGATACTATGTGACTTTGTTGTCACTTCGAGGTTACTCTACAACAACAGCAACATCCAAGCCTTATTCCCAAATGATTTCGGAGTCTGCTAACATGAATCAATCCATGATATCGAAGCCAAAAAGAAAAGAAAAACAAGAAAAACAAAAAGATAAGGTAAGATAAAGATAAAACTAATGATAAGATAAAAGAACATACTAAATATAAAAGATAAAATTAACATAATAACATAATAAAGATCATCATCATCATTACCCAGTGCCCCAAAGGCTCCCACTATGGTGGGGTAAGGGGGGTCGGATGTACGCAGCCTTACCCCTGTACTAAAGCACAAAGAGGCTGTTTCCGTATGACCCATGGTAAAATTCGCGTCGTAAATTTCATGAACTCACTGCTGCTTCATAACAAAGAAGCGCAGACAATTTAGTGAGCCATTTTGCTATATTCCATCATATTCTCAAACCAAAAAATAGTGAATCTTTGGCTCCATTGAAAATGATGGAAAAAGAACATAATAAAGATAAAGAAGATAAATAGATAATAAAAAAAGAGAGAAAATAGATCAATCCTCCACACGAATATGCGCCCTCCACTGTGCTCTCTCCAAAACCATACTCTGATCCAACCCAATAAGAAGCATATCAGTTCTGATTCCTCTAATCCACGTCTGTTTCGGTCTTCCTCTCTATTTCCCCCCTTTCTCAACTCGTCTAATAGGTGCATCACTCAGTCTTCTACGCACATGACCAAACCTCTACAATCGAGTCTCCTTCATCACTTCCAAGTTATTCTGATGGGAAAAAATCATGTAAAAATATAACTAAAATATTAAATGGGAAAACCAAGTGGATCTATTGAAGAAGATTAAAAGACCAACATTGCATTAACCTAGGAAATTGATATGTTCGGATGTTCCTGAGTACCACTGTGCCAAACTACCAATAAAGCAATACCATGACACCCTTTACACCAAACAGTACATTAGCAAGTGTATTTAGCATGTGTACGGGTGGGATCCCAAAATTTCTTGTTTTATTTTGTCTAAATTATCCTCAGAATACATTGGAACTTCCCTCATATTGTTTGTTTGTTTGTTAAATCTTTTGATTATGTGCTTGATGAAAATTTGTGGTATCATTTCTTAACCAATTTATTTCCTGCTTTATGATATCCACTCTTCTAAATATAGGGGTTAGAGAAATATGTCATGACAAAGCTGTATCCACACGTTTTTGCCTCACATCCTGAAGATGTGAAAGTTGATGAACAACTTCATAAAAAGATGGCTTTGATTCAACATTTTGTCCGGCCAGAGAATTTGGATATCAAGCCAGTCTTTCAAAACGAGACATCATGGTTGGTGAGTGAAGTATATTCTTATGTAAGTGTATGTGGTTAGGGTGCGCTGCTCTGATGGATCTACCTAACATGTTATATTATGATTAATAGGAATTTCAGGTAATGCCTTTTAATTTTGTTGTTTATGTTACTGGGGTAAATGAAAATGAAATGAAAATGATGTTACTTGGGTACAATTGAATAAGTATATCCATTGAATCACGAAGCTCTCATATGAGTTCTTAATGCAACAAGATATAAAAGAGTAATAATGCAAGTAAGAATCTATTCTAAATCCTGCTCAAATAAACTTGCAAAAGTTTAAGCAGAAGTTGTTAAGAAGACAGATTGTTAAATTCATATTAGAGATTTTGAATAATGTTAGGAGCTGGTGTGGTTTGATGCTCAAATGGTTTAAGTAAGAGCACAATTACATTGGAGCTTAAGAGATAGATTATGTAGGAAATGGTAATGTGTGTTAGATTATGTAGGAAATGGTAATGTGTGTTAGGGACCTACATAGAATAATAATAATAAATGAGAGTAATAATAATATTAGAATAGTTAGTATAAATAGAGGTAGAGGGTAGAATAGAAAGTAGGCTGGAATAATCATTTGGGCTTGGGACTTGGAACTGTCTTGTATTTTCTCTCTCAATTTTCTGTTATACGAACTACCTCCATCGTTACGTATCATGATTTCTTCCATTGTTAGCTCTCTCAAATTATGTATCATGATTTCTTCCATTGTTACCTAACATTGGTATCAGAGCAACGCTTTTGGTTACCTGTTCGTGGTCGCCACCAGAGGAACTATGGAAGCGAGGCTGGAAAGTTTTAATCGCGCGTTGGAGAAGAATCGCATAGAGGAGATGCGCGAAGCGATGCACAAAGAAGCCAAACGCAATCGCGATGAGTTACGCGAGCTAATCTTGAACCGGAAAGACAGTCAGTCACGCGGAAGATCGTGAACAATAAGGCGGTGTCGGAACTCTAGACCCGCAAATTCGAGATCGTCGATAGCGGTTTCTTCCGATTCGTCGTTGCTAGCAGCTGGTTCCAGTTCGCCATCGCGAACTGTTCTTCCCAGTTCACAATCGCAGACTGAGTCGCAGTCAGAAATCCCCCGTTCGCAGTCATGAACTGCTTCTCTCAGTTTGCCGTTGCTAACCGAGCAATCACTATCGTCACCACAAGTAGATTCTCACCCTGCACAAGACTTGCTTCTTGATTCGCAGAGGTCATCGCAAGCCACTTCTCCCAGTGCGCTAGTGTCAACTTGCCCCCATGAATCATCCGTTCCAGAAACTATAACCATAGTCGCATCAGGAAAAGGATTTACAGGAACTATATTTCCGGAAATTAATATTGAGCTGAAGCAAGTGACACCAACAGTTTCAGAAAATAGCGAAGTTGACATTCTTTTACCATGAAGAAACAAATAGTCCAGCGCCCACTGATGTTGCCCTGGTACTGACCAACGATGATATAAGAGAGGATAAAGAGGACCAGTTTCACACACATCTTTAACGATTATACTAGGAGGTATGCTGGTATAATAGGCTGTAATCCAGAGGAATTCAAATCTCGGATTGATATAAGTCTTGAACCTGGACCGGATATTCTAATGAATGTTGTGCACCATCATTTGGAAAAGGAAATTTTGGAAAGGCTGAATGAGTTCGATAACTTCAGATTTGATGGTGTTACTTCTATTAAGTATATTCAAAAGGGGCTGGAAGTAAGTATGACTGGAAATTGGAAGAAAAAGGTGGGTTACACTACTGATGGTTATGCTGACATGTTCCTGATGTTTGACCTGTTGCACATGGCCAGTACATCAGCCTTGCGGCCTTGCCTAGTTTAGATCCACATGTTTCATCTGATGGGACCAAACTTACATTTGGAAAACTTAGTGAGCTTAAGGGTAAGAGTTGGACTGGTCCAAAGGCACAAGAGAACCATGCATACCCCTTTTCTAGGATATCAGATGCAAAAGTTCCACTTGGGGTAGAGTTTTCACATGGAGGTCTTGTAGCCTGGTTGGAGGTTGTGTGCGGACAAAAGTTTGCTATTAATGATGAAGAGGCTGAAACAGCAATGCACAATCAACAATCAACATCTGGGATGCTGCACTCTGTTACTGAATTTCAAGATATTTTTACCCCAAGGTTGAAGATGAACTTCCTGCTCCTTAATATCCAGACTACATCTCAAATGATCATCAATGCTATTGTCCATCTATTTCTGTATCTTGCAAAATGCAAGATGAATGGGAAAGGGAGAGCTAGGATTGGCTTCACACATACCCTAGCAGAAGGGGAGGCACCTAAAGGTGAAGCATTCGAACTATCAAAGTGGTTTGTGGATTCGAAGGTTGAGCCGAGCCCAGCAGTTGAATTGATTAGCAAGTTATATGCAAAAGAGAACTATGGTGAGCAAGGTATGAACCAACAGTTTCAGAGATGGAAGGATGCTAAACTGGAGTGGTATAATGGTGGAAACAAGGGGTATGGGCTGCAAAATCTTGAAGGAGTGTCTGAAAGGTGTTTTATCATTGAATATATTGGAAGGGAGGTGCTGGATGTGCATGCCTATGAGGCACAACCAAAGGAAAATGCAGAGAAGGGTCACAAGCAATTTTACTTTATCAATCTGGAGTACTCTAAGGCTGCTGAAGTGAATGGAAGGTCAATAGAGACACCTTCTGCTGCAATAACAACTGTGATTTTGGAAGTTTATGCACTGAAGACAACAGTAAAGAAAGCAGTGGGGTATTGGGAAGGAAGAGGTGCAAAAATGAAGAAGAAGCTGTTCATCAGGATTGTTTCCTATCACCCACCTTGAGGACAAGGTGGTTGTCAAAGGGGGAGTAATGTTAGGGACCTACATAGAATAATAATAATAATAACTGAGAGTAATAATAATATTAGAATAGTTAGTATAAATAGAGGTAGAGGGTAGAATAGAAAGTTGGCTGGAATTATCATTTGGGCTTGGGGCTTGGAACTTGGAACTGTCTTGTACTTTCTCTCTCTATTTTCTGTTATACGAACTACCTCCATTATTACGTATCATGATTTCTTCCATTGTTAGCTCTCTCAAATTACTGTAAACTGGCCTATAACCTAACAATGTGATGTGAACACAGAAAATTGGAGTAGAAATATTATTAAAGTTATAGAAAACACGAGGAATACAGCCGAGACCTATTCGAGAGGACCTCAATCTCTCCCAGATCCCAATTTTCCCCAAATCCCAGTCTGCCCTCTCCCTATACTATTCCTTCTATTTATTCTTTTCCAATGAGGCTTCTCCTCAGTTTAACTAATTACTTGGCCCAGCCCACTTCCCTATTACAGATTATTAAAATATTTCAGAATTAATTCTATTAGTTCCCTCACCATAAGCTCAGGTTCGTATCATAATGCAAATCAATCAAGAGTGTGATGATAGGGACCACACAAAATATCTAACAGAATCAATAGTCCCTAAGCTTGCCAACCACTCCATTCCCAAGACCGTATCTGTTCCCCCTAATTGTAGCAAGTAGAAGTTCTGAATAATGAAGACACCCTGCACCCAAATCTGTAGGCCTTCACACATTCTTCTATTAATCACCTGTTCCCCATTACCCATTTCTACTTGAAATTTAGTTGTGGTTTTGTATGGCAGTGCCCACTCTTCCACCAGCTTTTGAGAAACAAAGTTCTTTTGAGAAACAAAGTTGTGAGTAACTCCTGAGTCAATAAGTATCATCACAGGTCTGCCTCCTTCTGGATCCTGCAACTGTCCCTGTACCCTTAAGGTTCTCTGGGTGGTAAGGCCTTCCCTGCTGAGAACGGATAACTGCATTGTTTTTAAATTGCTTCTTCTTCATCAACTATTGATTAATACTGAAGGTGTTTCTTCAAGTTCTTCTTCTGCTGATTCTAGCAGCACAATCCGATAATGCTTCATTTTACAAACTTGTTCTTTGTTCCATTTGTCCCCACATTTGAAACACAGCCCTTTTTTACTTCTTTCTTCAAGTTCTGACTGAGTCAACCTTCTGCCACCCCTCCAATTTTGATTAAATGTTGTGGACTCCCCCACCTTATTTTCAGAAGTGTTTTTGTCAGTCGTCTGATGGATGATGCCATTGTTTCTCCCCTTTTTCCTTCCAGCCTCTCTTGTCCTCCTCTTTGTACGTCCCAAACTTCATAGCCATATTTTTCTCCTCCAGTAGCAAAGCCCTATCCATTAAATCCACCAGATTTCCAGAATGATACAGCTTCAGCTCTGCTCGAATTTCCTCCTTCAAACCATTTATGAAAATGTCTTTCAGCATTTCTGTGTCCGTATGGCGCATTGGTGCGACGACCAACTCAAATTTCTCCCGATATTCCATGACGGTCCCCACCTGTTTTATGCTCAACATCGGCCCAAAAGGATCCTGAATCAGATCCGGCTGGAAGCTTCTGACCAGAGCCTCCTTAAAAGTTTCCCAACGGCGATCATGTTGGCCCTCCCACCATTGAAACCAATTGAGCACTTTATCTTCCATCGCTATTACTACTACCTCCACCTTATCTTCGTCCGCCACCCTGTTCAGTTTAAAAAAATCTTTCCAAACGAACAACCCAACCATAGGCTTCGTTGCCGTTGAATGAGGGCAGATCAACTTTCCTACCCGTACGCGTGAACGTTCGTGGATCACTTTCCTCACGTCAGACAGAAGTTGATCATAAACTACCAGAGTTACCTCGCGATGCAGAAGAGTGTCGACTCTCATCTCTATATCTGCGTCAAGGGGTTCTCGATCGGCCTCTCAATCATCTCTCATGATGCAGCAACATGTTCCGCACTTCCGCATATCATTCACCATCGCTCTCATATCAGTCATGTTTCGCTCCAACGCTTCTAATCTGTTCTTCAACTGAGCTCGGGTAAAAATAATCCACTGGCGACTCCTGAATTCTTCCCTCCAGGCTCGAGTGCTCTGATACCAGTGATAGGAACCACACAAAATATCTAACAGAA